GGCATCAGGAAGGCTGAGAACCACTGCTTTAGACGCTGACCCTCTAGGACTGACATTCTTCTCCATGATCTTACTTGTCTGTGTTCCACGTGCCCAGGTCCTCCACACCGTGGGGTAAAAGAGGACCAGCGACAGAGATGTGTGTGGACCTACGTGTATAGAATCTGCTTCTGTGAGTCAGAATTGACTTGAGTTTGGTTCTTTGGTTGTGAGACTTGTTTAAGCAATTGGCTCACACCAATCAGTAGGGCAACAGGCGGCTAGAAACCCAGGCAGGAGTTAATGATATTGCAAACTAGAGGCAAGTCCTTCTTCTCAGGAAACCTCTTTTATTTTTGCTCTTAACATCGTTAGCCGACCGATGAGCTCCACCTGCACTCCCGAGGGCATCTCCTTCAGGGTCCACTGACCGCTAACCACCTCTGCAGCATACTTCTCCCCCAACACCTCAATTGGTGTTTGGATTTAATCCAGTGGCCTAGCCAAATGGACACCCAAAACTAACGACCGCTGACTCAAAATCACGTTGGGTGAGGATGCGAGAGACAAGAACGCACATGCAGGACCCTGATTGGAGCTCCCACGGCGGGACTAACAGGACACGCCTACCATGTGGGTGCCTTTCTTCAAGCAGGGGTGCAGTTCAGCAGAATGGCTCAGATGGGGCTCCAGCATCAGGAGCTAGCACAAGGAAATGGGAGGGATGAGGAAGAAGTGGGTGTAGGTCATTGAGGCTTCAGGAGTTCAGATATTGTTTAAGCAGATATAAATCAGAGAAGATGTGGTTGATAAGAAGAGCTGTTAGTCATTTTCAGTTTATTTCATGACTCAGAAACTCTAGTTCCCCAAACCTTCAGGAGAGCAGACAGAAGCCCGGAGCTCCTTGAACATGCTCCGTCTGGGGGCTCTTGGTGACGAGCCTCTCTTGGCGAGCTCCCTGCCCCTGGCCATGGGTTCCTGCAGTGGCTCTCTCCTCGGTAGCCCAAGGGTAGTGCATCCTGTCATGACTCACTCCACGTTTTTCACGTCCTAAAGCACTGCGCCGAGTTCATCTGGAAATCATTAAACGCATGTCTGTTTGCAGATGTGTGAACCTCATTTCAATTATGATGCAAGCCTCAATCACTGAGTGGCATTCTTGTGACTCTTCTCATTAAATATACTTTCCGTAGACAAAGGGAATGGGGCTTAGGTGGCACAGTGGGTTAGGCCTTGGACTGTGAGTTAGTTAATTGTGCCAGCCTGGCCGATAATCACATGTGGTGCTGGTTGAAAGGCGGAGGGAAAAAAGGGTGGTGAAGCCTCGCCTTTCTAGTTCTCGGGTCTCTTCTTTTGTGATGGTTGCATCGGGTGCAAGCTGCCTTAGCAGTTCCCTGCTTCAGCTTGCAAGATTGACTTCCTACAAGACATCCCCAAGGAGAAGCCACATGGACCTATCCCGATGCAGACCTGGGTGCTGGAGCAGCCATGTGGAGACCCCTGCTAGTGCTGAGATGCTTACACGTTCATGGACTCAGCTTTCCTCCTGCAGTCGGCATCATTGCCTCTGTTTTGTGAGGTGGAGGACTTTGTGGACTGGTGTTGGGTTAATGGGTTAATGTTGGACTTGTGGGCTTGGGCAGCATTGGGTTGGGATGTTTTCGTGATGCACATTTTCTTTATATAAAACTCTCTCTTATACGTGAGTCGCCGTGGATTTGTTTCTCCAAAGTACCCAGACTAATACAGACTGCTAAGCACAAGGTCGGCCGTTCAAACCCACCAGCTGCTCTGAGGGAGAGAGAGGAAGCCATCAAGAATTACAGTCCCAGAACAGTTCTGCTCGCCCTGGTAGGGTCGCTGTGAGCTGGGATGACTTGAAGGCCGGGTGGCTAAATGGCCCTCTTCTAGTGCCTCTGCACACGGGAGACCAAAATCGCGAAAATGATCACACAGAGAGATTCATTTGCCTCGTTAATCATTTTCATGCAAAACTTCATATTTTGAGAATAATGTCTTACTGTGTATACAAAGTGGTTTGGAGCTCTGGTGTCCCTGGATGGAGCAGATGGCTCAGCACTTGGTCACTGACCCAAAGGGTGGCAGTTTGAATCTACCCAAGAAGCACTTCAGAAGAAAAGCGTCCAACCAAACTCCCTGCCCTTGACTCACTCCGACTTACAGAGGACAGGGTAGAACTGCTCCTGTGGGTTTCCTAGACTGCAACTCTTTCTGGGAGTAGAAAGCCTCGTCCTTCTCCGGAGGAGCCTGGTGGGTTTGACCTGCTGGTTAGCAGGGCAAGTCGTAACCCACTACACCACCAGGACTCTGGACTTCCGAAGAAAGGAGTGGCTGTCGGCTTCCCAAAGATCACAGCCATTGAAACCACTATGAAGCAGCTCCGCTCGGCACACACAGGTCATCGTGAGTCAGAATCAACTGGATGACAACTGGCTTGGGCTTAGGGTGGGGAGCAATTCTAGCTTTGTAGCAAGGGGTGACAGTGCGGGTAGTGGGAGTTCAGCTCTTTCAGAGGGTCCTCACTCTATCGCAGTCACGCTGTGTCCTCTTGGTCACTGTGACCTTGTGCCTGTGATTCCCCAAACAGGCTGAGAGTGTGTGCATGGGGTGCTGGCTGTTAGAGGAATGCCTCCAGGCAGGCACAACAGAACGGAAGAAGGACGTGTGGATGTCAGTCTGAGCAGGTGAAGGTGTCACAGGTGGGATTTGGCTGAAGAGGAAACCAAGATGACTGGGCCCGGGGAGGCAACCAGACACTGGCCTGGAGGAGGAGGGGCTAGCGGCAGTAAGGTCTTTCCGCGGCCACAAGAACATCCCTGCCTGGTTATTTCGCCTTTCACAACTGTGCCTTAACTACCCCAGGGCCTGTACGTGTCTGACGAGAATGGCGTGGATTCACGCCTGTGAAGATACCAGTTTCTTTGGGTTGCCTGTAAGAGGAGTTTGCGTCTTTAGATGGAGAGGTGGACAAATAGATGCGATTGTTTGGGATGTCGCAGGTCTCTGGCTGAATGTAAAGAGGACTGCATATGGGCTACAGTGAAAGCCACACACCAGCAGGTACTTTGGTTTAAGACCCGAGATAAAGCGATGCGTCCCTGAACTGATTCGAGACAACAATTCTCCAAGGGTGGTCTGAGGACTGCTCCAATCTGTGAATTCAAAGTGATCTCCAGAATACTACTAACAAACACATCACTTGCCCTTTTGGCGCTCACTTTCTGATGATTATACAGTGGACTTGTCTAGGCTTTACTTGACATATGATTACTGCATCACTCTCATAGCTTAGTGGAACTGTGCTTGTACATTTAACATTATTCAGTGGCAGCCCACAGAAATGAAAGCCAGCTCTTTGTACGTGTCATTAATTTTTAAGAGTGTAAAGGAGTACAGAGACCCCAAAAAAGTTCGGGAATCACTGGGCTAAGGCCCGGGGTCTCTGAGATCAAACTGATTGCCGCCAGAAAGACCTAGAAGCAGAAAGGTCTAGAAGTAGCTAGTAATCATCTGTTCTTTTCTCCCCCCGGCCCTCCTAGGAAAAACTGCACAGAAAATCTAATGGATGAAGATGAGAAAGACAGGGCAAAGAGGTAAGAAAGAGCCATCTCCATGCCTTAGCAATGTTCTGCGTGGGTCTGTCGATCTGATTCTTGCTTATCCTCACTCAGTCTGAGTGGAGAGCCAGCCAGACAATCGGCAGTGGGACATTCTTTAGGTACACAACCTCCTTGAAATATTACAGCTCTCTGTAAAAAAAACATTAGACCATCTCACGCCATTTTGTCCCTCACCCTAAAATTACTCATTGTCTTCAACTTGCTATCCCACTGACTGTTCACTGTCGTCTGCTCTCAGAGGCCTCGGGTTCCTAGCTGACAGGGCAAGCTGTCTGGAGCCAAACAGGCTTGAGTTCAAATCGTGACCCTGCTGTTGAGGTGTTGTGTGGCTTTGGACAGTAATCGTCATCGCGCCAGTGGCCACACATGGAGCGTGCAAGCACTTACATATACCTTATCTTCATTTCTTCGTCTGTGGGGAGATTTAAATCTACCGTGCATTGTCACTGGAGCCCTAGTGGTATAGTGGTTACAGGTCAGGCTGCTGACCACAAGGTCAGCTGATCGAAACCACCAGCTGCTCCATGGGAGAATGATGAGATTTTCTACTCCTGTGAAGAGTTATGGTCTAAAATGCACGTAGAAATTGTGGAATTGGAAATTTTTGTGTGTATATTTTTGCCACAATTAGAATCAAATTTTTATGTGACTCACAATGAGTACAAGGAAGAAGAAAATGTTCTAGAATTGAATGTGGTGATGATTCTATAACTCTTTTTGATATGATTGAATGACATGACATGCGGATGAAGTGCTAATAAAACTGTTTAAAAATACTACGGATATAAGAGTTATAGTCTAGGAAACCCATAGGGGTACTTCTACCCTGCACTATAGGGTCGCTATGAGTCAGCATCCATTCAATGGCACTAGGTGTGACTTTGTGATGGGCACGTTGTTACTGGGTTGATGTGGACTACTGGCTTGGGACCTGGCACATAGGGCCTATTATAATCTGGTCCATGTTCACTCCTTCACTGGACTCTGCTTGTAAGTGGGTACCAGTTGGAATTGAGTCAGTGTTGACTCATGGTGACCCCAGATGGGTCAGAGTAGAACTGTGCCAGAGGGTTTTCAAGGACTGCCGCATCGAGCTACGAAGTACTTGATTTCCCCGGGTGGGAGGCACCAGCAGAGGTCACTCAGTTCAGCCATCACAGATGTGGTTGACCTTTCACATTACGGGGTGGGTGGGGGAGCCAGGAGAAGAACAAATCCCATCTGCTCCCAGAACTACTAGATCCAAATCTGTAGAGCCAGGTGGGCAGCTTGATTGTTTTTTAATCACCCAATTATCTCCTTAAGAGCCCAAGTGGATTATGGGTTGGACTGCTAACTGCAGGTTACCAGTTCAAAACCACCAGTCACTCTGAGAGAGAAAGATGAGACTTTCTACTCTGGTAAAGATTTTAGTTTTAGAAACTCAAATGAACAGTTCTAATCTGTATGATCGGGTTGTTTTCCGTCGGAATCGACTCTATGATAGCAAGTTTTGTTTGTGAGTTTGGAAAAATTTCCTTAAGAAAATATTAACTCTGGCCCCAATCTAAACACAATTAGTTCTTATGACAATGGCCCTGACTGATGTTTGACCTTATGAAACACTCACTGAAGATCTGAGTGCAATAGCAAAGTGTGGTGAAGAAACCAGATGGTGCCTGGCAGCTGGAAAGAATAGATCTTAAAATCAGCAGCCATTTGAGGCATTAAATAAGTCCACATAAAAGAAGCATACCAGCCTGTGTGATCCAAGGATTGTAAATAATATAACCCAAATCAAAGGAGGGAATGATATCAGAGCTTAAATTGTGAACACCTGTTTTGCTGAAGGCTATGGATGACAGTGTAAACCCCAAATCCAGTTGCAGGGTTTGCACATGGATTGAGCCTCCAGTGAATTCCCGCTGCCCATTGACCAGGGATGGGAATAGCCTTGTCGTCAGACACAGGGCATCGTAAAGTTGATTATGGCAGATGTGGTTAGGTTAAAACCTAATACCTTATCATTTGACTCCTGGTATTTGTTTATGTTTTAATATTTTCTGCTTTCTTTTTGATTGAGGTTTTTCGATATTTTGTCATTGTTGGGTTTTTTTGTTTTGTTTTGTCTACTTCATTTCTTTTTTTACTTCCTAATTGTGTTTTGTATATTTTCTGTATATGGAATCCAGGCTAGTTAGATCTATAGATACAGGAACTTGATGGGGACATGATGGGGGGTGGGGGGGTGGGGGGAAATGGAGAGCTAACAACAATGAAGCAAATGTTGTGAAATTGATCATGGTGAGATTGCACAAATCTTCTTAATATTATTGTACAATTGTACAATATGTGATGGGAAACATATGCCAATCAACCTACTTTTTAAAAAGAAACCATTAGCAAGCAGGGGGACAGACTGGAGGTATAGAAACCAGGTGCCTGCTCGGTGCAAATGGTAAAGGGCTCTCCTACTAACCAGAAGATTGGCGGTTCGTACCCACCCAGGGTGCCTTGGGAGAAAGTGTTGCCATTCTACCTCCAATAGGCCACGGGTAGGCAAACTGCAGCCCTTGACTCATATTGCGGCTTTCAGTATGTACATGTAGCTCTAAAGTAAAATTGAAAAAATTTTAAAGATATTATTCAAATCATTGTGATTTCATTTGTTTTTAAGTATATAGATGTATGGCTTCTCAAATAATTTTTTTAATTGTTATGAGGGACAGGAATGGTTCTTCTGTCTCAAAAGTTTGCCAACCCCTGCAATAGACCATCCACTGAGAATCCCGTGGAGCAGCTCTACGCTGGGGTCACCCTGGGCTGGAGAGCGATCCGCTGATGATACATGAAACCGATTGGAGCAGGGGGATGGGGGGACATTAAAGCTGGGAAGTCAGCCTCCAGCGGGGGGAGGGCCTTAGGCTCCTATTTCCCTCATGTGAAAATTTTTGCAGTACATTTCAAACAAGCCAACACCCCACGAACAGCTCTCCAAGCTGTTCTGCAGTAACAGGTCCTTCGTTTGGCACTTGGCAACTGTAGCTTCCAACCTACTATACCAACTATAGGTCACCACTTACGCACACGGGTTGTGAAATCAACGTGGATCCCAAGCAAGATTTAAACCAGTAGATTAGACTAGACTAGAGTGGACTCCGCATGCTGTCTCTCGAGGGTGGGCTAGCTTCCAGTTGGTTCTCCGTTTTTTGGCCTCCTGGTTTCCTATGGGGTAGAGCTTGAGCCAGGGACCTGAGCTGCCTTCCTGGCCTGCCCTTGAGTGACGAGTGCATCCGAATAAGCCCCATTCACCTCTCGAAGCCTCCGATTTCTTCCCTGCCCACGAGGGTAGTCATTTCCATCCTGCCCTTCTCTCAGGTTGCTTTGGGAATGAGTGCATAATATACATTTGAGCCTGTGGAAAATCATGAGTTGTCGCAAGTCTGTGAAATTGCATGCCATTTTGTAATAACACCTTTGCTGGCAGTCATGGAAGGAGCCCTGGTGGCATAGTGCCTTACATGCTGGGACTATGGAACCACAAGACCAACAGTTCAAACCCACAAGCTGCTCCTGCAGAGGAAGATGAGGTTTGCTGCTCCCTTAAGGATTTACAGCCTTAGGAAACCATGGAGCAGTTCTACCCTGTCCTATAGTGTCGCTCTGAGCCCGAATGGACTCCGTGGCAGTGAGTGGCTTTGGTCTGAGCCACGATGGAAAGAAAGCAGTGGTTGCCAGCATTCATTTGATTCTTCCTTGCCCTGCAGTGGGCAAATACTTTTCTACACATTGTCTCATGGCAGCTTCCTAACATTCCTTTAAGCCTTAAAAGATATACCTTAAAATTTAAGGTATATACCATCATTATTCCCATCTTACAGAGGAAGAAACTAAGGCTCAGTGGGGTGAAGGCCCTTGTCAAAGATTGTAAAGCTAGAAAATAGCATAACTGGAAATTAAGTATAGGTTTTCTTTGACTTAATCTCTGCTCCTAACGCTCATTGCCATTGAGTCAATACTGATTCATAGCGACCCCTGTGGGTTTCTGAGACTAACTGTTTACAGGAGTAGAAAGCAGTGCCAACCATGTGGACGGCAGCCCAGTGCATAAGTTCTGCATGACCAGGACTCCCCCTGCTCTAACTCCTGGACCATAAGATAAAAGTAATAAAATGTGTTCATTTACAAACGAATCTCATGTATCCAGAAGGCCCAGACAGAGAGATTACATTTCATGGTCACTTTGGAGTGCACCCCAGGGCCCCTGGTGGTGTAGTGGTCATGTGTTGGGCTGCTGACTGCAAGGTCAGCAGTTCAAGACCACCACCTTCTCCATGTGAGAAAGACGAGGCTACCTGTTCCCAGAAAGACTGAGAATCTCAGAAACCCACAGAGGCAGTTCCACCATGTCTCATAGGGTAGCTGCGAGTTGACATCGGCTCGATGGCAGTGAGTTTGGTTGGAGTTGTTTGTTTGTTTGTTTTGGTGCCCACACTCAGTTGTTGTCAAGTTAGTGTCCACTTCGAATGAGGGCAACCCCATGTGTGTCGGGAAAGCACTGTGCTCTGTGGGGCTCTCCATGGCTGCTTTTATCTAGAGGAGATTGCCAGTCCTTTCTTCAACGGCGTTTCTGAGTAGACTCAGCCCTCCAGCCTTTCTGTTAACAGCTGAGCCCATTAATGGTCAGTTCCACCCAGGGGTCCTTGGTCATCATCATCCTCTGCAACGTCCTCCCCCCATCGTGCATAGTCCACTCTGTCTCTCTAGATCCTAAAATCAACCATCATAGACATATCAATAAAATCCTCTCTAAAAGTTCTTAGAAATAAATCAGATTGCATTTTTTTTTCATTCATTCCCCATTTGCTTGGACCTGTGGGCACCCCCCCACCCAAATTATTCTACTTGGAAGCCTTCTGTGCACAGAAAACAAAGTCTGATCCCTGGGATTGTCAGGCTGCTGGCTCTCACTCCATTCCTGGGTTTAGAATGTC